AGTGGCAGCCTGTGCTGAACTCCCTCCTGTGGGCAGCAGGGTGGCCACCCACAGACTCGCCTCCTGGCTGACTCACTGTAAGCCCCAGAAGGTACTTTTATTTTATATTCTTCTACATTTTCCATTCCCTCAAACTGGGACTGGAGTTGCTAGTTTGCTAATTGGGATGTTATAAAGAAAGACAGACGACAAGTCAAGTTCCAGTTTGGCAGGAAGAAAACAGAGCCTCTCCAGGCTGGTACCTTCCTGGCAGCTCATTAAAACTAATTTTACTCCAGGCCAGATGCTCGCGAGGAGCCAGACAGCACACGCCTCCCTCTCCGCTCCCACAGCACTTGCTATTTTGATAGAGACAGGGTCTCACTACTTTGTCCAGGCTGGCCTTCAACTTGCCATCCTCCTGCTTCAGCCTCTCGAGTTGTGGGGCTACAGGCCTTGCCCCGGGCTTGCTCAGCAGGACATCTCCTTGCCTGCTGCTGCCTGTGGCTGGACTGACTCGCTTCTAAGTGGGAGTGAGAGGGTGAGACCCCACAGAGGTGGATCTGTGAGCAGCTCCTCAGGCCTAGGGAGGGCTGAGGCCAAGGCTGAGGAGGGACACACCATCTTGGGGCTGGTAAAGGCCAGGTGGCAGACAGGGAGGCTCCAGAAGCCTGTCTCTGCCACTCCTGGGAAGGCTGTGGCCCAGGGCTTCTGTGCTGCTGGGAGGTGTCCACTTTGATCTGACGTCCCTTACCTCAGCCCCGGGGCCTCTGTGCTGCTGGGAGGTGTCCTCTCTGATCTGACACCCTTACCTTAGGTTTCCAGTGAATAAGAGGCACACTCAGGTCAGTATGGCCTCCGAGTGTCCTGGGCTGTGCCATGCTTCACCTGTGTTCTGCCAAGATGGCCACTGTGAGAGCACTAGCACCCCGGCGTGGAGGGCCGGCAGTGAGCGCCACCAGGATGACTTCTCCCAGAGTCAGTGTGGGCTAAACGGGGTCGTGGAGCTGTGCAGGAGAGCTGCCCTGAGCTCACTGTTCTCAGTCAAACCGCTCATTCCCCAGGTGGGGGAACAGAGCCCCCTGAGGGGCCTGGCTGACGCGAGCTCCACAGAGAGCCCACTCAGCCCTGATGGCACACTCTGGCTTTGAGAGGAACACGGACACTTCATCCAGGGACAAACTGACTCTGCACAGTTTCCACAGTGACTCTTTGGGCACTCCGGACCAGGGATACTTTGGGTCACAGCTGAGTGTGGGCAAGGAATGCATTCATGTTCTTTCCACAGGTGAGAAGCCAGGACAGGGGGAGTGGGGGCACCTGGAGGGAGGTAGACTTGGGAGGCACCCAGAGAGGCTGGGCAGTGAGCTGGTGCCCCTGTGTGGCCTGCCAGCACAGGGGCCTCAAGGCTACCAAGCAGAACAGCAGGCCCCCCCCCAGGCCAGCCTGGGAAACTTAGCAAGACCTTGTCTCAAAGTAAAATAGGTTGATGGGAGAGTGCCTGTCGCATGTTCAAGGCCCTGGTTCCATCCGAGCACCATAAACAGGCTTAGGGAGAAGAAGTGACATTTACGAACTGAGTACTGTGGGGTTTCCCTGGCTTGGTTATATGGGCGTGTCATATGTGCCCTTACAGCACAGTATGCAGATATCTGGGGTTGGAACATACAGATAGGTTTCTCATCATTAAGAAGTTAAATTGATATTTACTTCACCATAACAGAAATGCTATTTAAAATAATTAAATGGCTGATTAAATAACTCATTGTTAGCCCATGCACGGAATTTAATGACACCAGACCCCCACTGCTGCAATACCGAGCACGCTCACTAGATGGCAACAGACTGCGCATGCTGGATGGGCCTTAATTGTAACATTTTTCACTCCTTTTTAAAATTCATGAAAATAAAAAAGATTCAGTAAACTTTCAAATTAAATTATGTCATTGAAAAAAATTCTTGAAAAGCCATGGTATGTTCTGTACTGAGTCCCAACAACATAGGTAGAGGCCTTACATTGGCGTGTGGTGTTGCGACTGCACCACAACAAAGAAAAGCACTTTTTATTCTACAATCTTCTATGAATGCACCTTAAAAAGTGCAAGTCCAAGCCCAGCAGTGGACCTCCTTCCCCTGGAGTTCCAGCCCACGAGGGACTTAGAGGGACTTTGGTGCTGCGAACTTGTGATGGCACAAGCTGTTCTGGCAACCATAATTGAGAGGCCTCTGGGGGAAGCCTGTGAGGGCGTGGAGGGGCGGGCTCGCTGTGTTTGCTCAGGCTGCCAAGTGGAGGGCAGAGAGGACAGGAGCCAGTGCTGGGCGCCTAGTTACCCCCAAGGCCCCGCTCTGGCCCACAGGGGGCTCCCGGGAGGTGTGAGGCCAGCTCAGAGGGGGCAGGACTGCTGACAGGGTTAGAGGGGAGGACGAGGAGGAAGGCAATGGAAAGAGTGGGGAGAACAAGGAACAAAGTGGCCCTACAGTAACCACCTTTTCAGAAATTCCTTAGAGAAGAAAACACCCATTCTGAGAAAAAACCATAGAACTCCTTAAAAAACACACTTTCCTTTGTGTGGAGAGGGGAGAGAGAGCTGTGTGACGTCAGAGCTGGGAGGGAACCAGAGGCGGCCATCCCTTGTTGTGTTGTGAGGAAGCCGAGGCTGGTGGGCAGAGGAGGTGTCCAGGTCACTGCACAGAGGGCAGGCTGATGTTCTGCCCCTTCTGTACCAGCAGAAGGTAGGGACCAGAGGTAGGGACCCTGAGTGGGTGCTGGGGCTGCACACCTTCCTACCTGGACAGGTGAGCTACTTGTGGATGCAGCACTCTCCAGGGTTGCCGAGGCCTCTGTGTGTAATGTGGGGCTGCCACACCAGGGCTAAAGAGGGGCCGGAGTGCAGAGCCCGTCCAGGAGCGACCCTGGGTAGCCTGGGAGCCGTGAGCGTGGCAGGAGCGCTGCCCATCAGAACAGCCCAGAAGATGCTCATGGCGCTGCTCTGGAGTGGCTGCCGCTCCAAGGCTGGGCTCCAGGACTGCTGGGCAGCTTCAGAGCTCAGTGGAGGACAGCTGTGCCCAGGGTGGAGGCAAGCAGTCGTGGGCTGCATTTGAAACACAGAAACTGAAGAGCACTATTGCCAGGCTGAGGGCCGTGTGCAGCAGAGCAGGCTGGGAGAAAGGAATGACTGGCAGGCCCCACGCATTCCTCGATTGTCACACAGGTTCTCGGGTGGAAAGCTTTGGGGTGCGTGGGGTTGGTGGGGTTGCTTGACCTCAGAAGTCATAAGCATCAATCAACACTGAGTGGGGATGGAAGGAACCCACCAAAGCCGGGAACAAAAGAACCTGCCTGAGTGGAATTCAGAGGAAGATAAGGGGGATGACCCATGTTTGTATGATGAAGATTGACCACATCAATCCTGCCTTCTAGAAACGAGACAGATTCAGCCCTAGGGTGTCACTGAACTCCACTGAACTGCCTGGGGCTTGGCTGGACTCTGCTCAGGAACATCACCTGCTCTCGCCCAGTGCACCAGCCCCTCTCCAGCCCTCCTCTGGACACACAGTGCTCCGCAGCTGGCTAGCCACGTACCTTCATCAGGAGCAGGCAGTTTGCCATGGAGTACAGCACCCGGCCCAGACGTGACCTCCACAGCTGAATGGAGGCTGCAAAAGAAGAGCAGCTTGTCAGAGTGTAGCTACATCAAAGGTCGGGCCTGTGGTGGCCGGGCCTATGTGGCCAGGCTTTCTGAAGTCTGATTTAAAAGCCTCTCTTGCTAACACCACGGACTCCAGCCCAGAATGTTCATCCTGCTGAGGGTTACACTTGAGGCAAGATGCACAGCAGGCACATCCGGAGGGCCTCAGTGGCTCCAGGAAGATGCATGCTGCAGAAAGGCTGTAGCTTAGCCTCAGCTCAGGCAAAGGCCCTGGAAATCCAACAGGAGCACCAGGTTAGCACTCCCAGAAAGGCACCAACTTGCCTGTGGCTGCGCCCTGGTGGGAAGGGTCTCAAGGAGCTAGCCACGAGAGGCCACAAGGCTCCTGCACCCCCAGGCAGGGGTGGCAGGGAAGCAGGTTCTCCCCAGGCTCTGCACCGGCTGGCTCTGCTTTAGTTCCTAGGACAGCTTCCCAGGCCTTGGCTCCTTCATCTTTTAAAGGGAAACAACAATCCCTGGCCTCTTTTCTTCACAGGGCTCTGTGAGGGTGAACCAGCAAATGAGTACCAAAGTTCACCTGGACAGGTGAAAGCAGCACAAGGCCAGCTCCCATGGACGGCCGGTGCCCGCCCTCTCCCACAGATGTACCCACTGCTCATCTGCCATCCTTCCACTGAGTCCAAACCTCCAGGGCCTGTCCTTCTATGGTTCTCATGGGCTCCATGGCTCCAGGGCCTCGGGGGTCTAGAGAGGCCCCATAGCGGCTTCTGGCGCGAGGGAGGGCTGGCCTATGGCTTTGTTTGCATACTGAGGTCACCGGGAGTGAGTTCTGTGCTGGGGACTCAGCTGACTTCAAAGTTTGTATTTCACTGATAATTAGGTTGAGGCCCAGAGAAGCAAGGGTGTGTCATCAGAACCCCTGGTCAGTGAGCCTTGCCCTGGGCTCAGTCCCCTCCTCCAGAGGAACCCACGCTGCTGGGATGGCGCGGGGGTGGGGTAGTGGTGGTGGTGGGGGACACAGGCCCAGGGGCTTCCCCTACCAGCCAGCACCGCTGCCCTCTGAGATCATGGCTCCCTGGAACCAGGCTTGCCCCAGCTCCCAGAGACATGGGTACTGCCCCCAGCAGGCCACGCCCCGTCCTCCAGCACCCACACCCCTGCAGCTCCTGTCTTCTCACCGCCTCCTCCTCAATGAGCCTCGGTGCGGCTGGGCGCAGTGAGCCTCCCTCTGCCGCCCTCTGCAGGCCTCGCCAGCTCGGTTGTGCCTGTGAGAGCCCCAGGAGTGGGACCACACACCTTGCCTCCATGTGCTGGCTCCTCTAAAGGCCCGGGGGCATCAAGTGCAGGGCGGGGTGTCAGGGTGATGCCTTCCCCAGCCAGCCTCGCAGGCACACACACACCAGACAGACAACACACCCACACCCAACGGAAACAGACACAACCACACCCACACCTCACACCATGCACACATCCCACACATGTGATTTCTCCAGGAAATCACATGCGGTTTCTCAAGGATGGAGGGCGCAATGGGGACCCTGGGTGACGCCTCTTCCCCACATGTCCCTCTTGCCTCCGGTCTCACGGACCTAGCTCAGTGACCTGGGCCCGACAGGGGGTCCCCCCAGCTCTCTTCTCTTCCCACATGTGAACACCTAATGGCAGTTCCGGAGGGCCCAGGTGTATCAGGCCTGAGCCAGCAGTGATGTGGATCTGGGAGTTTACTGAGCAGGTGGCCGTGGGGAGGAGGCAGGGGTAGGGATGAGGGAAGGAGGGCCTGGCTGGGAGTTCTCGTGGAGCTGGGGTTGCAGCACCCTGGAGGCTCACCCCCACAAATCAACTCAGCGTGCTGCAGCCAAGACACCTGCTGAGGTGTGAACCTATCCCCACTTCACAGGGCCAACACCAGCCCCACAGTCCGGCTCGTGGTTTCGACGAAGGGGCCTTGCGGTCACTGGGGGCCTCTGAAGGCTTTAGTGGCTTTATAAGAAGGGCTAGTAGCGTGCTTGCTTGGCCTCTGCATGTGATGACGCCCTCTGCCACGTTACGACGCAGCGAGAAGGCCTGACCAGATGCCACTGGGAGCTCTTGCATTTCCCACCCCAGAACTGGAAGCCAAATAAACAGGCCGAGGCAGTGACCTTCTCAAAATATAGATCTGCACCCACAGCGACCCCGAGCCCTGGGGTGTCACCTTGTTTCCTGCAGAGGCTGCACCCTGGACCACCTCCCCAGCCACTCTTCCTGCAGCACTGGCTCATGTCTGGTTCCACCCTGCTCCCTCCTGCCATGGGGGGCAGACCCAGGTGGGTGAGGTGCCCTTCCTGCACGGGAGGCCTCCTGAGCCACAGGCTGGGCTAGGCCCTCTGTCAAGGCTCTCTCAGAACCACCACCTGGGGGAGGAAGGTCACCTGCGTGGGTGACAGGTGGGTTAAGGTGCATCTTCTTCCCTGCGGTTAGGCGCAGGTCTAAATCTGCACACAGGTCTGCAGCACAGCCACAGGGCTCAGCTTGCCAAGAGGAAGGAGTGAGTGACTGAGTGACTGTCCCAAGAGGGAGAGAGGAGGAGTCCCAGGGCCTGTGCGGCTCTGCTGAGCGGAGATGCTCACCTTGCCGGCTCTCTGGTGTGACGCTGCTCATGCCCCCGTCTTCAGCTAGACCTTGCTCCAGGTTGGCTAAGATCTGCAGTCATTTCAAACAGGAAAACAAAACCATAAAATTGAGTTTGCGTCTAGACTTGTCACAATATATTCCAGGTAGAGCAAATTTCTCTGGATGAAAACCAATCTGTCAAGGAATGTTCACACGGACACATCTCAAAGGCCATGATGACTATCACTCAGAGGTGACAGCAAAGAGAAGGGCCTGTTCTCTGCGGAAGGTGGAATTTGGGTTTATGACACTCGTAAACCACAACAAGACATTGTGCATAGGGACACGTGGCTTTTCTTTTTAAGAAAAGCATCAAGTATGTGACACATGAGAGTGATTATTAACTTTTGTGGAAATATCAGTCTCATTCTTCCAGGCACCATGAGGGGCTGTGGCCTTTTTTAATGTACCAAATAAATATTGTGCAGCTGTCGCTTCATGTAGATCGTACTGCTTGGTTAATAACTCTTGGTTGCTTCTTCCACGTTTTGGTTTACACTGAAAGACAAGTTGCTGTGGCCACTATCATTTAGGTACAGATTTTATTATTTTCTTGAGGTGAAGGACAGGAGAAAGTCTTAAGAATAAAGACTATTTAGCAGGGAGACAGCAGCCTCAGGCCGTTCACTGTGGGGAAACCCCTTTCTCTCACCAGGCCGCCTACCCAGCCTCCACTCCAGTGCGAGCAAGGAAGCCATGGTTCTATAGCCCGCTCGCCTGTGAGAGAGGACAGCAGTGGCCGTGAACCTCGACCTGTGGCATGCCTGGGGTCTTGCATCCAATGGTCTCCTGGCTAGTCTGTCTTCTGAGGGGGTCACGAGACCACAGGCCGACAGGGAGCCTCAGGGCTGCTGTGCAGTTGCAATCCCTTGCGCTGGAGGAGAGGAAGCCCAGGAAGGGAGGGAAGGAGCCCAGTGGAAGCCTGACCATGCAGATGGCCAGTGCCACTTGGATTAGGGCCACCAGTTCAGTGATCCTGGGCAGGGGGGAGGAAGCTCTACGTGGAGGGCAAAAGCAAAGGTGGAGAGCAGTGCTGAGGCAGGTGGCTCAGCAGAGGGCCGGCGACAGCCCCGCCTGCCCCGACACCACAGCTCACCACTGCACTCTGCTGACCCCCAGACCTGAGGGGACCCCTGTGCCTATGAGCCCTGTGTTCCAGTGGGCTTCAGGGAAAAGAGGGGCAGCCCCGATGGGCAGATGCTGGGAGGAGGATCCTGCGCCACAGAGGCCAAGAGGCGCCCAGAACAGAAGCTCCACCAGACCAGCAGGAGCAGAGCACGAGGGCACTCCCCGCTGCTCTCCTGTCCTCCTTTTGGAGAGCCAGCTTCATTTGCTGGTGCCTGTCCACAGAGTGGGGAGGGCACTGAGGTCGAGAGGGAGCTACAGCTGCCCTCTGCGAGGAGCCCACATGCCAGGTAGGGGGACTCCGGCAAGGCTCCTCGGGGTGTGCAGAGGCCCAGGCTGCAGAAGTGTGTGAGCACAGGGGAGGCTCAGCCACGACAGTGGGCCGTTTGCCTCGGGTGTCTGGTCCTCAGCACTGCTTCCTATGTTAGGGCACTATTGAATGAAAGCTGTCTGCAGGTCCCTTCCATATCAGAAGTGCACACCACGTGACCCATCAGAAACCCTGGTTCACAGTCAGCAACTTGCAGAGCTGCCAGAGCCAGCTCTTGCACTGCTGAGCAAAGACACATGCGCAAGAAAGGCCACCTATACACATGAGAGTGGCCAGAGCCAGCCTTTTGCATTGCTGAGCAACAGCACATTGGCCACCAAAGGCCACCTCTACACTGAGAGTGATCACAGCCAGCCCTCTGTACTGCTGAGCAACAGTGCACTGACCAGCAAAGGCCACCTCTACACTGAGAGTGACCACAGCCAGCCCTCTGCACTGCTGAGCAGCAGTGCATGTGCCAGCAAAGGCCACTTCTGTACACGAGGGCAACACACAGCCTGTCTGTAGCGAGCTAAGCTGCTGCACCTTGAAGGGACATTTTCGGATCATTTCCTAGTGATGGAGTGGTTCTCCTCAGCACATGCGGTGTTTTCCAGGAGACACCATGCATCAGGCTACAAAACAAGTCTCAGAGATCAAAGTGAATCAAAATGTCATGGTCTTCTCTGACTACTAGATCAAAAACTAACAGAAGAAACTTCAGAATACACACAGTTACTTAACACGTTATTGAATAATGTCACTGAATATATAAATCTAAAGGAACATTTAAAACTTTCTGGAAACAAATGAAAATGGAAAGAATGAACCTAAACTTGGGGTCAACAGCAAAAGTAATACTAAGAAGGAAGTTTATAGCAAAACACTACCAATAAGAGAGATTTCAAATAAAAACAGTGCATCTTAGGACCTAGAAAATGAAGAGAAATAAAGCCAAAATCAACATTAGGAAAGAAGTGACAGAGAGCAGAAGTAAGCCAAACTCAGACTGAAAAATACAAAAGGCCATGAAATAATGAGTGGTTTTAAAATAAGATAAACAAAACTGACAAATCTTTAGCTAAGAAGAAAAGATCCAAAGAAATAAAGGTGAGGAGGCATTACAACTGAGACACTGATATCAGTAGAGATTGTCATGAGCAATTCTAGGCTAACAGACTGAAAGACCTAGAAGAAATGAGCAGACTTCTGACACATACAACCTACCAAAACAGAACCAAGTTTAGGGTCACTATCATACTTAATGCGCAAGAGCTGAGAACATCTCCAAGGTCTAGAAGAAGACAATGCTTTTATTCAAATAGTACTGGAAGTTTTAGCCAGAGCAATAAGGCAAGAAAATAAATAGAAGCATACAAATAGGAAGCCAAAGTATTCCTATCTGCAGATTTTATGAATAAATATAGAAAAATCTAAAGGCTCATCAAAATACAAATAAACATTTAATACAACATTTCTAGGTCTTCAAGATGCACTGTTAGGTTTTTTTTTGAAGCTTTCTCTTTCTGGTAGAGGTGTTTTGCTGTAAACTTCCTTCTTAGTATTACTTCTGCTATTGGCCCTAATGTTGCAGGATACAAAATCAATGTGTAAAAATCAGCAACATTGGTTTTTTTTTTGTTTTTTTTTTTGGTACTGGATAGTGAACTCAGGGATGCTTAACCACTGAGCCCATCCCCAACCCTTTTTGTATTTTATTTAGAGACAGGGTCTCACTGAGTTGTTTAGGGCCTCACTAAGTTGCTGAGGGTAGCTTTGAACTTGCAGTCCTCTCGGCTCAGCCTCCTGAACTGTTGGGATTACAGGCATGTGCTATAGTACCTGGCTTCAGGAGCCTTTTAATACATCAATAACAAGACTGCTAAGAAAGCAAATATGAAAACAACTTCCTTCACAAATCAGCAGAGGAAATCAGCAGAGGAAGGTGACAGGGTGGAGGAGGGGAGGTCAGTGAAGGCACTAGGGCTGCAATGGAGCAAACGGCGAGCCATGCAGGGACGGACACGTTAAGATGCTCGTGCTCTTATGTACACCTCAGTGCATTAATAAAAACACGAAAAACAGCTCAAAGTGGGCCAGAGAGCTACATGTGAGACACAAAACTAGAATAAATCATAGGGGAAATACTTTAAGACCTTGGCATGGGCAAGATTTTCTGGATAAGACCCCAAAACTCAGGAAACAAAAGCAAAAATAGACAAATGGGATTATAGCAAACTAAAAAGCTTCTGAAAGCTAAGAAGACAATCAAGGTGTGAAGAGACAACCCGAGGAATTGGAGAAACTATTTACTAGCAAGCAGTTATCCAGATACACATGAAACTCAGGAAACTTAACAACAACAACACGGGTGCTTCAATTAAAATGGCCAAATGATCTGAATAGATACAAAAGTATTTAAGGAAAAATGCTCAATATCATTAGCCATCAGGAAAATGCAAATCAAAATTACAATGAAATGTCATGTCACCCCAGTTAGAATAATTATTATTAAAAATCTAAAAAACCAGCGGGTGCAGTGGCTCATGCCGTGATCCCAGTGGCTCAGAAGGCTGAGACAGCAGGAACATGAGCTCAAAGCCAGCCTCAGCAACAGCGAGGTGCTAAGCAACTCAGTGAGACCCTGTCTATAAATAAAATACAAAATATGGCTGAGGATGTGGCTCAGTGGTCGAGTGCCCTTGAGTTCAGTCCCCGATAACTCCCCCAAATAAATATTAAATAAAAATAAAAAACCAAGGGAGATGAGGAGAAAAGCTCTCATGCACTGTTGGTGAGAACGCGACGTAGTACAACCATCATGGAGAAGAGCATGGAGGTTCCCTGGAGGACTAAAATCAGATCCAGCCACCCCTTCTGGACATACAGCCAAAGGAAATGCCATCAGCCTACCAAGGGAAAGCCCACGCCCACTACGGCAGCAGGACTCAGTTACGAATGGAACCAGCCTAAGTGCCCATCAAGAGATGCACAGGTAAAGAAAGACTGCACACATGATAGCGGGGTGTTCATCAGCCACAGAGGAGAATGCAATCCTGTCACATGCAGCAAAACAGGTGGAACTGGAGGACACCAGCCTGAGCCTCATGTTCTCTCACACGTGGAGAGTCAAGATGATGATGTACAGCTGAGCACAGACTCGGGGCTACACAGCTTGGGAGGCAGGGGAGCGTGGCGTGGAAGGCGGGTGGGTGAAGGAGGCTGAATCAATCTGTGCCGCTGGTGGGCGCTCAAAGGAATATCCCACTGAGCCCCATTGATGTGTGCGATTCATACATGCTCACGAAAGTAAAACAAAACTGTCCTAAAAATAACATTTATTTTTAAAAGAAAAAAGAAAGCCACCGTTGCTTGAAGCCACAGCTTTGGAGCGGTTTGTCCCATGGCAGTGGATAACCTACGCTGAGGCAGCTCATTTTAGGCATGCCGAGGTCAGTGCTGCAGCACACTGGTTTTGTTCAATTGGGAGCTTCCATAGGGCTCCTCTTTGGCGTCCTGGAGCAGCCCCTCTCTGAAAGCAGCTGCACTCATGAGAAGAGGCTGCTGGCAGGGAGCGGGGGTGGAGGGCAGCACG